AATTTAATTGTGAGATTAAGTAACAGATTTTGGTTTTGACATTTTATACTTTCCTTGAAGGACTTCCCAGGTGGCTCAATGGTAAAGGATCCACCTGCCAATGCAGGAGATGAGTTTGATCTCTGGATCAGGAAGACCTCCTGGAGGAGGAAATGGCAACTATTCCAGTATCCTTGCCTGGAAAATCCCATGGACAGAGGAGTATGGTGGGCTGCAACCCCAGTGGCAGCAAAGAGACACAACAGCAGCTAAACACACACACACATTTCCTTAAATCACTATCAAATGAAAGGATTTCTATGTGGCAGCAAACTATTATTTGGCTACAGTATATACTTAAGGAATGTAAATATTTTATGAAATATCAGAGTTTTCATAGGACTAGTGAAAATTTCTTTCTTAACCTACCTCCTCCCTTCAACTCCCCCAAACCCTCATACTCTTAGTTCGCTGGCTTTCATGAAGATAGGAAAACCTTCATAGACTCCTACATACTGTGGTAATGGACATATCCAAAATTTCACAGACATTTTTACCAGGCAGACCTGGGTTTTATTTCAAGCTCTGTCAGTTTCGAACTTGGGGACCCAGAGCAAGTGACCTTAACCTCTTTGAGCCTCTAGATTCATGATTTGTAAAATAAAGATTAATCACTGCCTCCTGATTTTATTGTTAAGGTTCAGTTCAGTTCAGTCACTCAGTCATGTTTGACTGTCTGCAAACCCATGGACTACAGCACGCCAGGCCTGCCTGCCCATCACCAACTCCTGGAGTTTATTCAGACTCATGTCCATTGAGTCAGTGATGCCATCCAACCTCTCATCCTCTGTCGTCCCCGTCTCCTCCTGCCTTTAATATTTCCCAGCATCAGAGTCTTTTCAAATGAGTTGGCTGTTCTCATCACATGGCCAAAGTACTGGAGTTTCAGCTTCAACATCAGTCCTTCCAAAGAATATTCAGGACTGATTTCCTTTAGGATTGACTGGTTGGATCTCCTTGCAGTCCAAGGGACTCTCAAGAGTCTTCTCCAATACCACAGTTCAAAAGCACCAATTCTTTCGTGCTCAGCTTTCTCTAGAGTCCAACTCTCAGATCCATACATGACTACTGGAAAAACCATAGCCTGGACTAGATGGACCTTTGTTGGCAAAGTAACATCTCTGCTTTTTAATATGTTGTCTAGGTTGGTCATAACTTTTCTCCCAAGGAGTAAGTGTCTTTTAATTTCATGGCTGCAGTTACCATCTACAGTGATTCTGGAGCCCAAAAATATAGTCTGCCACTGTTTCCACTGTTTCTCCTATTTGCCATGAAGTGATGGGACTGGATGCCATGATCTTAGTTTTCTGAATGTTGAGTTTTAAGCCAACTTTTTCACTCTCCTCTTTCACTTTCATCAAGAGGCTCTTTAGTTCTTCTTCACTTTCTGCCATAAGGGTGGTGTCATCTGCATATCTGAGGTTATTGATATTTCTCCCGGCAATCTTGATTCCAGCTTGTGCTTCTTCCAGCCCAGCGTTTCTCATGATGTACTCTGCATATAAGTTAAATAAGCAGGGTGACAATATACAGCCTTGACGTACTCCTTTTCCTATTTGGAACCAGTCTGTTGTTCCATGTCCAGTTCTAACTGTTACTTCCTGACCTGCATACAGATTTCTCAAGAGGCAGGTCAGGTGGTCTGGTATTCCCATCTCTTTCAGAATGTTCCACAGTTTATTGTGATTCACACAGTCAAAGGCTTTGGCATGGTCAATAAAACAGAAATAGATGTTTTTCTGGAACTCCTTTGCTTTTTTGATGATCCAGCAGATGTTGGCAATTTGATCTCTGGTTCTTCTGCCTTTTCTAAAACCAGCTTGAACACGGGGAAGTTCATGGTCACATACCGTTGAAGCCTAGCTTGGAGAATTTTAAGGATTTCTTTGCTAGCATGTGCGATGAGTGCAATTGTGTGGAAGTTTGGGCATTCTTTGGCATTGCCTTTCTTAGGGATTGGAATGAAAACTGACCTTTTCCAGTCCTGTGGCCACTGGTGAGTTTTCTAAATTGTTGGCATATTGAGTGCAGCACTTTCACAGCATCATCTTTGAGGATTTGAAATAGCTCAACTGGAATTCCATCACCTCCACTAGCTTACATGAAGGTACTTTTACACAAATAGTTTACCACAGTACCTGGTAGAGATGGAAACTTAATAAGTTTGTTGTTGTTTTCTTTTTATTATCATAAATCTTTGAAGAGTAGCAATCCTTTGATCAAATTTACTTAGATACTGTTGTTGTTCAGTCACTACTGATGTCTATTTGAACAAATCGTTTGATATACTGAAGTGTGTATGTGTGTACAATGGTAAGATTATTTGGTAAAACAGGATTGTTTTTCTCTAGAAAAGAGGGGAAGAAATGATTTTAAACACAACATTTATATGTATATATGGTGGTGAGGGTTTAGTTACTCAGTCGTGTCCGACTGTTTGGGACCCCAAGGACTATAGCCCGTCAGGTTCCCCTGTGCATGGGATTTCCCAGGCAGGAATATTTGAGTGGGTTGCCATTTCCTTTTCCATATGTATATATAAGAGGACTTACTTGTTTTTGGTATATTTGAGAAAGCTTTGAATTTATAGAGTCCTGAGATTCCTGGGAAGCTTTCATAAAATTTCCATCTTGAGATTCATCTGTTTCAGGATATAGGGTATAGTTTAATATTTTGAATAAAGGTGTCCTAGGTGATGCAAAGAGCCAACTCATTGGAAAAGACCCTAAAGCTGGGAAACACTGGGAGCAAGAGGAGAAGGGGTAATGGAGGATGAGATGGTTGGATGGCATCATGGACTCAATGGAGGTGACTTAGAGCAAACTCTGGGATATAGTGAAGGACAGGGAAGCCTGGCTTGCTGCAGTCGGTGAGATCACAAAGAGTCAGACATGACTTAGCAACTGAACAACAAGGTGACTTTGATATTCTTCACTCTCTCCTTGATTGAGAATATGTTAAAATGAAATTTCTTAAGGAACTCACAATTTATTGTGTAAACAGACATGGATCACATAATGGATTGCATTATTGCAATGTACCAGAAGTGCTGAGATGTATAAAAGCTCATTGTTATGCAAGCAAAGAGGAAGTGACCCTTGCTTTGGGTTTTGAGGGATGAATGAGAGTTCAACAGAAGAACAAAAAAAACATTCAAAAAATAAAACAAACGATATTGATCAAGGTATAACGAAGCAGGAAGTTGCCAGGAGTAAAAAGTGGGCTTCTTGAGTGATCTATTGATTAGACATCAATGCTGTGATCTATCTGGAAGTTATTCCTCAATTTATGAGCAAAAACTGATGACAAATTCTTTTTTCTCAAGACTGACTTAAGATATAGTTACAAGATAATTGTTTTTTGTAGTTGTTGTTGTTATTGTTGGGAATGGGTACTGTGTATTTATTATGATTGTATTGTTTTTAAACAGTTTACCAATAAAGGCCAAAGATTTTGTATGTAGCAAGAGAAACAATTAGTAAATGTAATAATAGTGCTTTGTTATGCACTTCTATTTTTAAGGTTAATTATTTGTCTAATTAAAACCTTCAGAATCAACCGCAGATGCTATTGCCTAGAAATATTAGATAAACTCAAGTCTCTTTGGCAGTGTAAGAATTGTATAACAACTTTTTTATCCTCTCAATAAGATATGAGCTTTTCTTACTTTGAAGTCCATATCACATTTTACCTTTTTTGTGTGTTATTTTCTCTTACAGTTGCTGATTATTTATGTAATTATTTCTGCATATCACATTTTACCTTTTTTGTGTGTTATTTTCTCTTACAGTTGCTGATTATTTATATAATTATTTCTGCATTTTACAAATGAGGAAATTAGGGCTTAGAGAGGTTAAGTAATATACTTGAGGGTTCCCTTACCCAGAAATGCTAGAACACTGATTTTTACTCAAGCAATTCTGTTTTCTTGAAAGATAGTTCTTGAGATATTATGAGAGATTAGACTGGGAAGACATGGAATTCCAGGCAGGGAAATGGTTGTGGAGGCTAGTGAAATGATCAGGAAAGATACAAGGACAGAGAAATAGAAAAAAGAGACATGAAAGATACATTGTAAAATGAAATGAATAGCAAGTGTTGAATTGATATAGAGAAAAAATAAGGTGTTGAAGGTGATTCCTGAAGTCTTGTTTATCATAGTTTCTCCTACAACAGGGAACTTGAAGAGCAGAGTTAGATGGAACTTAGGACTTGGGTGTGAATTTAGCAAACCAGGATGTTGTCAACACTTCTGCTCTGGGGCTCACATAATAGATCAGAATAAAGATGTGGATTTATTGATGACTTGAACTTATTCTTCAGTTTTCTGCAAGTATTTGTTTTCTGATTTGGTCTCTCACATCATCTCTCCTATGTTGTGTTAGTTGCTCAATTGTGTCCAACTCTTTGTGACCCCATGGACTGTAGCCTGCCAGGCCCCTCTGACCATGGAATTGCTCAGGCAAGAATACTGGAGTGGGTTCCCATGCCCTTTTCCAGGGGATTGTCCAGACCCAGGGATTGAACCCAGATCTCCTGCATTGCAGGCAGATTCTTTCCCATCTGAGCTACCAGGGAATTGAGGGGTTTTCTTTCTTTTATTTTATGCTTTTGATAGAGAAATAAAACTATGCTCCCAGTTTTATGCAGTGTGCATTGTCATTATAACATGTAGGCTTGGCCAAATAACCAAGTGTGAAAAATCTGAATGACCCTTTCCTGTTGCCATATTTTATTCTCTATGATTGTATTTGTTGTGTGTGGCTGATCATGAGAATGAGATCTAGCCTTACTATTCTTTGGACTCATTTTTGGCCAGCCACTAGGGTGTAAGGTGTGCCATAGAGTTCTACCTGGTGCTTATCTCTTTGAAAGTCAAATTTGGGGTTCTGTGGTATTGACTGACACTGCAGAGCTGACCATGGTGTGCTGACCACCTTTCATTCTGATGTCTTCTGCAGAAACTGCCTCTTTGGGAGCCAGGACCTGTGAGGATGATCTTACAGAGCAGCAGCTGAGAGCAACCTCAGGTAATTTGTCTTACTCTTGTCTGTTCTAAATGAGTTACATTTGTTACTCTCACAATCTATGAAATAAACTCTCTGGAACTGCCCTAGCTAGAACTGATCAAATCACTTACACAAATAATTTAAATCCTATATAGAAGATATCAATATTATATATAATAAATATAATAAAAGATTAAATATAGTCAAATTTGGATGCATATGTAAAGGAAATTCTCAGAGAACAAGTAACTTCTGCTGGATAATTTCTCACATCTGCATTTATACACAGTGAATTTTTTACATAAATGAATGGTTTTATACAACGTGAAAGTCAATAAGCTGGGTATTGTTTCTCCCCCAAGTCAAACAACCTGGATGCTGCAGTTAGTTTTGGTAATGAGTTGATTGGATTTTTACAACTGTGTCAACACAATCACTGGCTCCTATGATTTGCATGCTTATGTGTGTGTTAAAAAATGAGGGCTATGCCTTCTTAGCTGCATTATATCACATAGTTTAAGAGAAATTTCACCCATGTTGTTATAATACACCTCACTTATTTCTGCTATATAATGATCCCAGTTTCCAGGTTTATACAATTGGAATAATAATGTCAATATGGAACAAAAAATGATTTTAAAAAGTCCCTCACATTTATAATGGGGTTTTGAAATATGTTTTAAAATTGCAAGTGAAACCATCCCTCCAATATAGAGTCAGGACTTCCCTCTTTAAAAATTCTTAAAAGTAAAGTTTACCTTTACCTATGCCTGTCTCATGAATATCTTTTTATTTATAAATAATTATTTATTTTTTTATCTTATGTTACTTTTCCATAGAAAACTAGAGAACATATTTACAATAAATTGGCATAAACTCAGTTCATCTTCCTCACTTCAAGCCAATAAAAAAACTGCATTAATGACTAGGTTGAAAATAATAGGGCAAAAGTCAAAACTATGAGAAATATATCAAACTAAAAAGAGACCACTACCTGTCAATATATTTATTTTATAAACAAAGACATCAAAATTTATATCTTCAACCTCTCTGAGAAGCTTTATATTTAGATACTCCCATGCCTTCTGGATATTTTCATGGAGATGTTCTACAAAGAAGTCAAATATAACAAATTTCAAATTGAGCTCTTCTCTGCAAAACCATTTCTTCTCCTCTTTGATCTTAATTGATTACATCATACCATAGTCCTCATTACCCCAAGTAAGAAAACTCAGAATCATTAATTTACTCAAAATTGCCATGAGCTGTTGGACATAAGTTTTGAGTAAGGCTGATTAGTTCTCTCATTTTTAGATGTTGCATGTGTATGTGCCAAGTCACTTCAGCCGTGTCTGACTCTTTGCAACTTTATGGACTATAGCCCTCTAGGCTCCTCTGTCCATGAGATTCTCCAGGCAAGAATACTGGAGTGGGTGGCCATTCCCTTCTCCAGGGGATCTTCCCAACCCAGAGGTGGAACCTGAGTCTCTCATGTCTCCTGCATTGGCAGATGAGTTCTTTATCACTAGGGCCACAATGGGAAGCCCTTTTAGATGTTATTTCTATACAGATAAGTTACAAATTAGTTACTTTCAGATTTCAACAAATATGATGAAGGAAGTAGAGCAGAGGTTTTCAAAGTGTAGGCCCCTTACAGACAGCATCAGCACAATCCAGGAACTGGAAAGAATGCAGATTCTTAGGCCTATCTCAAACTTACTGTATCAGAAGCACTAAAGATGGGGCCCGGCAGTCTAGGGTTTAACATGCCCTCCAGGTGACAGTGATTCCCACTAAAGTCTGAGGCCCCCACCTGTGTGACTGGTAAGGCGCTATATTAGAAACAGTGGTCTGAGAAGTTCTCTAAGGAAATGACAGGTGAGTTGAATACAAAATAAGAAGGAGCAAATTAGGGGAAAGACATTACAGACAGAAGGAAGAGGTTGGTCATATTCTGCGAAGAGAAAGAAGGGTAGTGTGGAGAGAGATGAGTAAAGAGGAGAGCAAGGTAAGGTGAAGTCATAAAGATAGACAGAGGCCTGATCAGTTCAACCGCAGTGAAGAGTTCCTGTGTTATTTTAAACAAAATAGGAAGCCATGGCAGGGCTCAAACAGTAGAATGGCTCGATTTTATTAAGGTATGCTGAATAAATTGTGGGAAAGCAAGAGCAAGTCTCTCCCAGTAATGAGACCATTGCAAGATACAGGTAAGCAGCTAACAGTACTGGCAATGAAAATGAAAAGAAATAGATGGATTTACTGTATATAAGATATACTGGAATTGGAATTAAAAGGACTTGCTGATAGATTGGTGTGCATATAAGAAGGAGAAAGAAGTCAGTGATGAGCCTTGCTTTTGGTGAATGGTGGTACCATTCACTGAGATGGTGGAGACTGGGGAGAAACAGTGTGTTGAAGGGTGATTAAGAGCTCTGATTTGATATATTAAGTTTGATATGCCTTTCAGACATCCAAATGGAGATGCAAAATTTAAACCAGTGGACCTGGATGAAGTCATCTAGGGAGATTGTTACTTTTCCTAAAATCAAACATTCTTTCTGAATAAGAAAATAGGACTTAGGACCAATGCTGGAGACATTCCAAAATTTAGATTTTTAATGGAGGAGTCCCCAGCAAAGGGGGATAAGAAAGAACTTTCAGAGAGATATGGCATCACAATAATCTGGTGCAATGAAATTCAAGAAAGGGAGTTTTTCAAGGAGAAAAGAGTAGTAACTAACATCTTCTGAGCAAAGTCAAGTAAGATGCAAAGTAGCCATTGAATTTCACAGGATGGAAGCCATCGGTGGCTTTGAGAAGAGCAATAGATGTGGAGCCAGGCCGGTGATGGTTGAATAATGAATGTGACTGAGTAGAGAGAGAAAATTTAAACCAAACCAAAACAACCCAAACCAGACCAAAACCAAACGAAATCAAACAAATGTTCCTTTTAGGTTTAATTGAACGGGAATAGAGGAAGGAAATAGAGTCTAGACTCCTCTTTTTCTTTTCCCAATTTTGCTTCCTAAATGGAACTCAGTGTTCCAGGTAACAAGTTCTGCCTGCCTTCTATAATTCCAGCCCTGGGGGTTGGTGCTTCTGGAACACTGACAAATAAGACAATCACTGTTTTCAGTAAATGTGTACCTATTAGGGCAAGTAGGTAATACTGATTTCCACAAGCTAACTAAGTTGTTTTACACTAATGCACAAGAAAAAGAAAAAAAAAAAAACAACCCAAAAACGTATCCAGCAACACTAATCTTAGTTCAGCATTCATGGAAGACTTTTTGGTGGAGAAGGAAATGGCAATCCACTCCAGTATCCTTGCCTGGAGAATCCCATGGATGGAGGAGCCTGGTAGGCTACAGTCCATGGGATCACAAAGAGTCAGACATGACTGAGCAACTTCCCTTTCCCTTTTGGAGAAAGAAGCAATTAAAAGAGAGGGGGGGACATATGTAGACCTATGTTAATTCATGTTGATGCATGACAAAATTCAAACCACTCTTGTGAAGCAATCATCAATCAATTAAAAATAACTAAATTGGTGGCTCAGAAGGTAAAGCATCTGCCTGCAATGCAGGAGACCTGAGTTCAATCCCTGGGTCAGGAAGATCCCCTGGAGAAGGAAATGGCGACCCACTCCAGTACTCTTGCCTGGAAAATTCCATGGGCGGAGGAGCATGGTGGGCTACAGTCCATGGGGTCACAAAGAGTAGGACACGACTGAGCGACTTCACTTTCACTTTCTCTCTAATATAAAAAGCAATTAAGAGTAATAATACAGCTAGCATTTTTAATACTTATTTTGCATTAAGCTCAGTGCTAATTTTTATACATTATAACAAATCTATGAAGTAAGTAGCATTAGCTCCATTTTTACATATGGTAAAAATGATATTTGCCAAGCTAAACTTAAAGGAAAGATGGGAGTTAAATACAGTGAAGAAAAGTAATTCTAGAAAAGACAACGGAACAGTGTTTCTTATAGGAAGGAGGTAGGCATCGATGACTTGTGTGTTCATGAAATGTGGTCTTGTACCGAGAGCATTAACATCATTTGGAACTTGGAGATGTAAATTCTCAGGCCTTACTCTACACTTCCAGAGTCAGAATTTGTAGAGAGAGAGCCCAGCAATCTGTGGTTTAACCAGTCTTCCAGGTGATTCTGGTGCCCTGAAATTTGAGACTGTTCTCAAGTTAAGTGCCAGGTAGGAAGTGAAGAAAAATGAAACTGTAGTGATAGACAGAGACTAGCTATTCTTGCCCTGTTCAGAAGATTGAGCTTTTTCTTTATGTAATGGCAGTCCCTAAAAGATGTTATGTAGAGAAGTCAGATTTAAGTAGGTCATACAAAGGATAGATTTTGAGGGAGTAGAGCTGAACAGGGAGACAAAGAAGGGGCACAAGAAGGAATTCTTGTAAGCCAAGTGTCTAGAATTGATGCTTCATGTCAAAAACTAAAGATGTTTCAGTTGCTATCCTTCGCTTCCTCTTTATATGGGCTTAAAAAGTATGCAGTGGTTTCCTTAGAAGACTCAGAGATTTCCCAAACTCAATTGTATAATAAAGCAATGGGAACAAAACTGACTGGTGTTTAGATCAGAGAGATAGCATGAAGCAGATTTGCTTTAGAGTTATATTATTTTATAGAATAAATTGATAGTGATTTTCCAATCTTTTTTTTTAATTCAAATGAAAATACTCTAAGCTCATCATTCAGAAACTTTTAAATATAGTTTACATATATGTGTAACTTACAAGATCATCATTTAGGCATGACAACAATGCAGTGCTTAGTCACTTAGTCGTGTCTGACTCTTCTCAACCCCATGGACCACCAGGCTCCTCTGTCCATGGGGATTCACCAGGTGAGAATGCTGGAGTGGGTTGCCATGCTCTCCTCCAGGGAATCTTCCCAACCCAGGGATCAAACCCAGGTCTCCCACATTGCAGGCAGATTCTTTACCATCTGAGCCACCAGGGAAGCCCAAGAATACTAGAGTGGGCAGCCTATCCTTTCTCCAGGGGATCTTCCCAACCCAGGAATCAAACCGGGGTCTCCTGCACTGCAGGCGGCTTCTTTACCTACTGAGCTACCTTTGCGACCCAGTGCACTGTAGCCCACCAGGCTCCTCTGTTCCATGGGATTCTCCAGCCAAGAATATTGGAGTGGGTTGCCATTTCCTTCTCCAGGGGATCTTCCCAACCCAGGGATTGAACCCAGGTCTCCTGCATTGCAGGCAGACTCTTTAACCTCTGAGCCACCAGGGAAGCCCATAACAATGCAAGGGGAAGTTAATTGTACCGTGCGGACACGACTGAGCGACTTGACTTCACTTCACTTCAAGACTATAATATTATTTTGTCTTCTTCCTATTATTTTGAAATGTTTTATCATTTATTTGAAAATCAGGAAGTTCTACTGGACCTAATGCACATTTGAATCATATCATAAAATTTAACTAGGAATACTATATTTTCCATGAGGCAAAATAATTGAAATATACACTGTGAATATAACTATTTTATGAAATGCTACACTTTCATTATTATTACATGTAATATATTGAAGAAATTTATTGATGAAAATGAAAACTGCTTTAGCATCTTTATTTTGGAATTTTCTGTAATTTCCCTCAGTTCTAAGACATCCCTTTAATACATTCCATGCTGTATACTTTTTTCCTTTTTTCATAAAATTCTCTTCCTTTTTTCATAAAATGTAAGCATCTTACATTTTACAGCATTTTACAGTTGAGGAAATGTGGTACTTGAAAATGAGAACGTAGCCAACTCTTGCCCTTCACCCTAAATCCAGCCTACAAGGTTTTCTAGGGGAAAGTGGTTTCTCCACCCTTAATACTCTGGACTCTAAAGTCTATTTATAAAACGAATGTCAAATTTATTTCAAAAACTCTCCTGAAGAACGAAAGTGACCTTTTTCTCCTGACTTGGAGGAAACTTTATGGCATACAGAAGTTACCCTTTGATTCTTTTTTGCCTGATTAAAAATTCGCCAAGTTCTATGGCTCCAAAGAGCCCTACCTGTAATAAACAGCTTTCGCCTTGGAAACCACAAAACAGGTCTGAATTGCTGGAGCATTAGAGCTAATTGCCTGCCTACTTCAAAGGAAGAACCAGAAAAGGGGGAGGGGGGCCCAAAGTCACAGAAGCCGAGGGAGTGCGGGCAAATCCACCCTGGAGGTTATGAGCTGTGGCTTGGAGGAGCCGGGCAAAGTTATGGCCTCAGAACTGCTGTTTGCGATTAAGTTGATGGGGAGCGTCTATCCCACAATCTCTCCCCGCTGCTGACACAGAGTCTTTGTTCACATTCAGATTTCTCAAACTGTTGCCAGGGTCAGGCTGGGGTCAGACACCACCGTGATGTATAGAAGAACTTGTCTGGGAATTTCTCTCACACTTAAGACACATACCAGAGGATCCTGCAGAAACCGTCTGATGAGACGCAGACCGTACTGGAGTTTCTCTATTCGTTCCTTCATAATTTTCGTTTTCTTCTTCTGAAGCGCAGTGTTTTATGAACAGGAGTGGCGCTAGCCCTTACCATTTTATGTCCCCTCAAGATAAGGACGCTCAGTAGCACTCTGACGCTTCGTTTTCCAGCCTGGGGGGAAAGGTCTAGTAAATCTGCGCCCAGAAGTCTCACACCCCTTCCCTAGGACAAGTCTGAGAAGGAGTTGCCACGGGCTGTCGCGTAGGTCGCAGGCCGGACACTGGATGGTCGAGTCACGTGTGTGGACTTGGGAGGGGAGAGGGGGGACACCACCTAATCCAGTGATGATTTCAGACTCCCAAGCAGAGCCAGGCCACGGTCCCCACCCAGCCTGGCCCCCTGCTGGAAGGAGGAGGCCTGGATTTGATCACCTCTTACCCCAGGAGGATGAAAGCAGGGTAGGGCCAGGAGAAGGGTTGATTCATCTTCAAGTATAATTTTCACATCTATTTGCCTGAAAGGGAAGTTTCCCCCGAACCCTCCAATGACTGACCTCGCCCTGAAGACCTCCCCTGCATTTTGGTGCAACATCAAAATGTATCTATGGAGTCAGTAGATTTGCATGGTGCCTTTGAGGACTTCCGGTTGAAACAAACTCTGATTTCACATGTTTTAAACATCCTTGTTTTCAAACTTGGAGTCTTTCTTTGGAGTTTCTGCCATTGAGTTTCTGCCCAGAACCAACCCTCCTTCTGTTGTTTTCTGGTCTCATAGTGGTAGAGCATGGCTGGCAAGTGAAACACAAAACAGCAATTTTTTTTTTTCTTTTTGGTGCTCAGCTGCTACATATGACAGTGGATATTTCATTCTGCTGTCAGAACATTATTAAAAAAACATGGGGTGTGGAGAGGGCCACGATTTCCCCTTTCAATCACTATAGCATTTGCAATGAAAATTTTATGCAGTGTGTAATTTTCAGTTAATGCTTGACACTTAAAATGTCCAGAGTCGCGTTTTGTACGGTTCTTGAAGGGTTAATTGTATCATGTTCTCTGCATAAAAGCTCTGCTTATCAAAAGCAAATAGAAGAGTGTATGCAAATGGGTGTCAATGACCTTTTGCCTTTCCAGGGTTAATTTATATGGTCATTAAAGATTTTATGAAATTGAGGAGCCTGGTGCTTCAAATCCCATTTTACCTTCTTCTCCTAATTTATGTAATTCCTACCTGAACAAGGGAATAGGATTTTTATTTTTTGTGCCGCAATGAAAACAGCATGCCATGCTGTGGGGAGTTGCAAGTCTGGTTATCTGGCATTACTCAGATTGCTAAAAATTCATTAAAATGTGACATCAGCACAGTGAGAGACAAATGATCGCAGGATGAAAGAGAACAGTGGGCCTTTCACGGATTAGTGCTACACCGACCCAGCATAGAGGCTAACTGCATAAACAGATTAATCCACCAGCAGCGGCGTAGCTAAGATTTACAGAATAATTAAATAGGGTTGAGTTACTATGAGGATTTCCATGTAATCTAGCTGGTGTGAAACCCGTGAATGAGGTGTGGGGTGATGTGGTTGTCATAGAAGAAGTATACCTTCTTCTGTCCTACGCTCTGTAGAGCTCCCCCTATAGAAAAAAAAAAAAAATCCCAGGATAACTGAAGTTTTGTGATCTTACTCTGACAAATTCCAAAGGATTTCTCTGGGGTCTAAGGACTGAAAGTTGAGAGAAACACCTGTCTTTTATATTTAACCCATCATTATCACATTATATTATGAAGACATTTTTCTGAGAATTTGCTTCATTCTGCCGTTTATCCAAGTCCATGGAGAAGTGAGTTCATGTAGTTTCCAAGGCTCTACTATTGAAATTACAAAATCGCCTTGCATTCATTTTTAAATCTTTTCTAGCTCAAACCACATTTCTTTGAAAAGACTTTTTTTAATTTAGTACAGGCACATTTTCTCAGTGGAAATAAAAGAAGTGGCTTGAGATAAAAAACAAACCCTGTATTGGTAGAGCCAGCAGGTTCTAATAGTGACTTTTGAATAAATTCATGTTCTTTTTTGAGAAGGAATGTCTGCAAATGATTCCTAAGTAACAAAGTTTCTAAATGGTCACGTCCTTTATTTTCGGGTGTGTGTTTCTGGGGTTTTCCATCCTACTGACTGGTGTGTGTTTCCTAGCAGAAGAACAGAGTGAGGAGACAGAAGGAGCCGTTAAACCTATAGCTGGGGCTGAGGAGGACGAGAAAGACACAAGCGAGAGAGACAATAGTGAAGGCAAAAACTCTAATAAAGACTCTGGTAAGATGCTAGAATCTTTCACCTTTCCCTCCCCCGCCCCATCCCAGCGATCAACCCTCCCTTTGCTGACCCACCCCCAGCTTATTAAAAGCTTTTATTCATTTTAAACTGTCTGAACATTCCCACTACTATTCACTGCATGTGCATTTTGCATGTGATTTCTATCAGTAGCCTCCCATTGACCTATTTTTAATCATAACCATCTGACAGAATAGATGTGGATAAGTTGAAGAATATTGCAGGACGACCAGTGAGATTATTTTTTAATCAAATCAGTTTGTGTGCTTGTAATTTTTTAAGCGCCTTTCATTAATCTTAGCTATACTTATGATTCCTCTGATGGCATATTAATTTTTCATAAGCATGGGATTAGATATCACTTGAATTTTTTCATTCAGTCATATGCACCCCCGTCCCTCCCTAAACCACACAACCCTAAAAATAAATGTTATTTTTCCTTGCTTTCTGTTTTTTTTTTTTTTTTCTTTTTTTTACAACTTACACTCAGGAATTTGCCCTTTTTAAGGGCATCTATTTGAGGCATTTCAAACAAAATCCAGTGAAAAAGTTTACAGATGATTCAGCCTAAGAAGAGGAAATATCATTGAGAAGGGATTAGGTGCTGGGTAATTTTGATCTTCTAGAATAGACAAATCCCAGTAATGAAAGCTACTGTCTTTGAAAACAAACCTTCGTGTCATGACATTTACTTGTGCACAAACAAACCCTAGGCCAGCATCTGGTGTGGATACCTAAGGCTTTTTCTGTGTTTGATTTGGCAAATATATGACTTCATCCATGCTTTGTATGTATGAGATGGAAATCTATGGTCGCAATGAATATTACATTGGCTACTTTTGCTGCACGCTATACCTATTTTTATTATGTTGGACTCATTGAAGCAGAAGAAGTGCTGAAACGGGTTCAAGCCTATTAGTTTCAGGTAGTCATCTATCTTTTCCTGGAATTCCAGTGACAGCCGCATCTAAAGAAGCTTGTTTTCACTCTGAAGACATTGAGTTGTGCAAAAAATATCATTTTCACGTGCAAGTTTATTTAAATCTGAATTATCCTGCATTTGTAATTCAGTCTTTGTAGATCTAAATTTTCCATTCCCTTTGCAAATTGTTTGAAGAGCCTCCCTGCTACCCACCCCACACCCTTCCATGCTGAATTTTTCTCCAGAGTCCAGTGAAAAAAGTGCCATTTAAATTTGCATCCAGCATATCGTAGCTAGCATATGATTCTAATTTGATTTTAACAAAGAGGATCTAAGGTTGGTTTTGAGCCTAAAGAATGTACAAAAAAAAAAAAAAAAGATCCCCTAGCTGTATAATAATAAAGCTCCTGGGGTTACTGACAAGGTATTTGAAATACCTTGTGATCAGTTAAGGTCAAGGGCAGTGCCATCTAAACTTCATTTGAAAAGAATTGGAAATAGCAAGGGAGTCAGCTTAAGTCTAGGAGGATCTCATGAAAGCTAGCTGCTTGACTCCTTCAGGAAGGCCATGATTCTCCCTGCCTCCAGTAGTGATTGTCTCCCAGTTGCACCAAAAGAGACTTCAGGGTATGTTCCACCCACAACCCAACACATTCAGAAGAATGTGTCAAACACACAGTGCATTGGTGTTTGTTGAGTATTCACGTAATGCTTAGGAATGTGACACTGTGCTTGGCTTTCAGTAACTAATACCTTGTAAAAGATGAGTTGTGAGAATCCCTTGAAAATGGCTCCAGTCTCATCAATGAGTAAGGAGTCTTGCTTGGAACATACCACAGATACAAGGGCTCTGCCTCCATCAGCTTGGTTTACTGGTCTACATAAATAATGGGCTCAGTCACTCACTAATGGCTTGATGAGTTATTATGCTTTCTTGGGCATCTCATTGTACCATCTCATCAGTACTCAGGCATGTGAGAGGATACAGACCATTGGATAATGATAGTTTTCTAAGACACATTTTTAGCCCTATAGGAATGCCTCTCTAACTACATCTATAGAGATAAAAATGTACTTTACCCAACTCAAAGGAATTACTGAGATGCAAATGTTTAGCTTCGAAATATCCCAGACATTGACAGTTCTTACTATTGACAACTCACATGAACATTTTTAACCCCCTTGGTACATTTTTATTTAGTTATTATTTTTAATTGGAGGATAACTGCTTTACAATGTTGTGTTGGTTTCTGCTATAGATCAACATGAATCAGCCACAGGCATACACATATGAGAAACCCACAACAAACATTATTCTCAACGGTGAAAGACAGAAAGCATTTCCTCTAAGATCAGGAACAAGACAGGGGCGCCCACTCTCACATGAACCCTTAACAAAGTTTTCTGCTTTCTACATTGAATCTGATTAGGTGAAAAAATTATTACATGGATTTTTTTTTCTTGTAAGTATTTCTAATGATTAAATATCCACTTATGTGTATATTGGTTTTCTTCCTGATGTCAATTATAAATGTCAAAAATCCTGGCAAATTTATATGTTAATCACTATCTGAATGTGCTAGATGGGAAAACAGTGTGACCTCACTTTAACACAGAATTTTTTAGATAGGAAGGAATTAACACATGTTAGGAAGAAGGTGTTTGTATAAGCTGTTGTACTTTGTTGCTGACATTAATCTCTAGGACGGGAGCTTTCAAAATGAGACTTGGCAATATGCAAGTTATATTTGTTGAATATTCATTCATAATAGAAAAGCCTCCTAATGCCTCATTTATATTGTCATTTAAATCTAGTGCCACTTTAGATTAATTATAATCCAAATTATAGCTCTGTGCTCTACAAGAATTAATATAGAGTTTATCCAGATTAATACATTTGCATTGAAAATGTAATATGTCTCTGCCATGGCTAAGGGGACCACTTTTTAATAAGGGAGTAAACATGAGGAAAGATGGAAATTAACCTTCATTACTGCAATTAAAATTATCCTTTCATTCTAGTCTCATTAGAAAGAATACTGTACCAGTAATTATAATTTAGGCTTATTTGGAGTTGAATAACATCTTCTGTTATATCCAAGTTTTACAGTATCCAAACTTTATCAAATACATTGATTCATAAGTAATAACCTGGCATTTTGTTGTATTTTTTTTTCAAGATTTGCTTTGAATACATATATGTTATTGGATTTTCCTCAGTTGTTATGAACATAAACCATTTTACAACCTTCTGTATTTTAGGGATTGAAAATTTATTAAGTAGGCAGCATCTGAATTGAAATGAATTATGTCATTTTTATATTAGCAATCTCATGCAAGTGAAATAATCCCATAACTGACAGATAATCATTGACTCATCTATTTGGCAGTGTTTATTTGCAATTAGACTTCATTTTTTTAGTTAAAAGTACATTAAAATGACATTTTCTTTGAAGATATTGTGATGGCCTTAATAACACAAAGTGAATTATGATCTCATTTCAAAATTTTGGTAACAAAACAGTGTTCATTTCAAGTAAAGTTGTAGACATAAACTATGAGTAGCCAGAAAACTTAAAACCTTCCTGAAAGTAATTAGCCTTTATTTAATATATTTCTAGAATAAAACAATTTAGAAAAAGACCCCAGATTTGATTTCCTATAATTCACCAGGGAGGCAGTAATACCTAAGGTGGTACCCCTTTGGGTAGAAAAGGCATACATGCATAAAATATAAGGTCCCTCATTTTTGCAAACAGTCATGATGTCCTGTTTTAGCTCCAAGAGTCTGTTTTTGTCATATGCTATTGCATCTTAACATTCTCTGCTGCTGCTTCTTATCAGTAGCATGTATTTCGGAGGTGCCTAGCTAAGAGTTTGGGGGTCTAGATTTTATAACTTCTTCTCAATTTAAAATAAAATGGTCTTTAGGGAGCCCCTAGCTTACATTAAGATCATGGTTTAATTAACTTAATTAGCCAAAAAATATTGAAGCTGACACATATATAGGGTAGAATACTATATCCAGCAGTTAGCATAATGGCTATGAAATCGTGACCCTAAAACTTAATTCTTTTCTTGTGGCAGCATAAATGTCCCTAAATTCAAAAGCAATTATATTCTTGATAATATGAATATACATTTAAAATAATATGGATTAATTATATCAAATACTTACACCAATGTACAGTCATGGTAAAATGTTTCAAGCCTTGAAATCAGTTTTTCTGATTCCTTATAGTACTAACATTAGAAGATATATGCTTATAAAAATAAGGCCATAGCTAACATTTAATAGAGTTAGAAGTTTCAAGAAGGTTTATTCTTTCTGATATTCCTAAAGCCTGTAAGCAACAAGAATTATGGAAATTCTCTTTTACCTTCTGTGTGACAGTCTTTGATAGCATATGGAATTGAACCAACCTATTGGGTCATGTCAGATTCTACCATGTAGACAAAAGAATGATAAGGGCCTATGACATAGTATTATTCTCTTAAGGAAGCATATTCTTCCTCATTATTAAGGAACTTTAAAAGAAAAAATTTCCAGTCTCACAGGAAAAAAAGCAACTGATAGACACTCGCTGATTTAAGTGACAATCATTTTTATACAACTTGATCTGACACCTTAAGCAGTCAGTTTTATTTGCCAACCTTATATATCACATTGTTTTCTTGTATTTGTTTTTAACACTTTTAAAATGATAGCACAAAATGTATTATGCTTTGAGAATTTTCCTTTTAGAAGAAAAAAAAATTTTGATACCAGGATTACTTATAAAATAAGTAATGAGTTCTTGGTTTTGAGATGTCTTTGGATATGAAATACTTGGATGTTGTTAATCAGTATGATAAAATTCTTTAGTTTATCTCAGATTTAAATCATTCAAATATAATTACAGTAAATTGTATTTTCAAATATCTAGAAAGAATCTAAGTTTCTCTAATATATCTGTGTATATAAGACAAATGTACCAATTCAAATAAAATCTAGTGTTTGTAAATCTATCAATAGAAATAAATCTCAGTGCAATTTGTTTGAAAATGTAGCACTAATTCTATACCTTTCACAGACCTCAATGGAATAACATTATTGTCATTATGTCATTTAAGTTCTATTTTAATTTCAGTCTCCTTAGAGTCAGACTTACTTTCAAATTTCTTTCAGAATTCAAAATTCCTAAAATTATTTGTATGGTATAAAACATGCATCTCCATCCAGGAGAGAAAAATAATCTATTTTGGGGTTCATTTTTATGTTGTTTTCATAACATCCTTGACCTTATTTTTAAATTAAAACTGGGTTATTTTGCAATAAAGTGTAATTTGTTCATTTATATGAACCGTATGTGGATTGGGAAAAAAAATCAAGATAAATCTTCATGCACAGCATACAATCAGATTACGCCTAGACTCTATATTTACGCGGGGTCTGATAGCAATCAATGGTTTAGCTTCATTGCATTTCAAGATGTATTTGCACCCAGTTGTCCAGTGATAGTGTCCTCACCCTGGAAATAATTTAGTTGCAAATTGACTGGAAGATGGTGAAAATTGAAAGTTAAAATTAGAAATACTCATAATAAACAGCAGAAAAAAGGTCAGATGATGCCGTGCTATGATGAGATTGGAATGGCTGGTAAATGAGGTTTTGTGTTTGTCGTGAGATGTATGTGACATGCCTACCCAATGTCGCTGTAATATCCAGCCTCACAGAGGAGATTATCGGGAAAATTGATGCTGGAAAGAATTTTCTGTTAGATTGGGAAATTAGAATCACACTCTATCCTTTGATGTGTGTGAGCCTTCTATACATTACATTGCTCATCTAGGCAAAATTTTAAACTGTCTTTAACACGGAATATTCAGATTAACCTCATAAAACAACTGTCTTCTTGATTTGGACTACAATGTCATATGCACAGCCAACTGCTGAAACATCTAAAGCCAAGGATAAATCACAAAAAAGCAGCGGTGGATACATAGTGTATAATTTTAAAATCCTATATTCACCACATAAAAAGCATTGGTTTCATTTGTGAATTATAACTTGTCAGCCCTTCTCAGAATTTTGAAGTGTTTTTAGTGTCCCAGAATTTTAGAAAAAAAAAGATAGGTAGTGAAACAGTTCCAAAAATAATTATTTTCTAAGTTAGCATTTGTGAATGGGAATAGATTTGCTTTAATGTGATAAAGGTATATTGAGACAGCAGACAGCATGTACCATTGATGAATCTTTCATGGTCACTGAGGGTTATCTAAACAGGAGACACAAGTACATTTTAAAACACATTTATAAAGTCCACTTGGTCAGTGGACAAAAAGAAGTGTGTTTTTGCCTTTTGAGATTAGCATCATTTACAAGTGCTTGTCCCTCCTTTTGGTGATTCAGTGGACTTAAAGCTATGCAAAAGACATCGTTTTTCTGATTTTGACATTGTCAGTCTTTTAAGATCGAGATGTTTTATTCTCTTTTGGGGAATCAGGAGTGATCACACCAGAAAAGGAGCTAAAAGTCAGTGTGGCAGGGGGAACCCAGCCACTCCTGCTGGCAAAAGAAGAGGATGTGTCCACAAAAAGATCAAAGCCTACAGAGGACAATAAGTTCTGTCACGAACAGGTACACAGGGTTTGTATTTTTCTTTTTTTCTCCCTTTGCTGGGTAAACTTTTTTTTTTTAACTGTTGCCCTTGATCATTGTAGAGCCCCCAAACCATTCCATGCTGTTGAAATGTATGTAGACACTGTAATTGGCAAGGTCATTAACTCTTGGTCTGACTTCTAGTGCTCCAAAGTCATCAACATCCGTTAACTAATAGGAGTCATGTTTATTCGATATTTTCCAGTTCTATCAGTGTCCTTATTGTAACTACAATAGTAGGGACCAAAGTCGTATCCAGATGCACGTCTTGTCACAACACTCAGTGCAGCCGGTCATCTGCTGTCCCCTCTGCCAGGACGTCCTTAGCAACAAGATGCACCTCCAGCTTCATCTGACGCATCTGCACAGCGTGTCTCCGGATTGCGTGGAGAAGCTGCTTATGACAGTAAGGGTACCAAATGTTGATGCATGCGTGCCATCATCTCTGTGAAGGTATCAACATAAAATCTGTCATTACAGTGTGACAGAAATGTATTTCTTCTGGTGGTGACAAACTCTTGCTGACCATGTTGTAGAAATCACAAGTAAAGACCCATTTGTTTCTCCTGTGACTTGGGAATAAACCCCAGGTGTGATACAAGGCATAGATGATTCAACAACACAGATTTTTCAGCCTTATTCTCATACCTATAATGTTAATCAGATGATTCCTGTGGGCACTAGGAGTTTCATCTTTGCTTGGCTATCATTTCTGGGCTACGGAAACCTTCAAACATTTTTTAAAGAAAGAAAAGTAAAGAAGAATACAGCATTGCCACGGCATTGATCTGAAATTTGAAAGGAGAGCATTGACCTATAAGAGTCACAGAATGTCCCTGCTTTGGTTGGAAAATATAACTAGGGTACACAACGGTCTGGGGTAAAATGTGATGGAGTCCATGATGTCTGGGGTACCTTTGTCATGAACCCCTTTGGTTTTCACAGGTGCCTGTCCCTGATGTTATGATGCCCAACAGCTTGTTACTGCCAGCAGCCGCCTCTGAGAAGTCAGAGAGGGACACATCTGCAGTCATCACAGCTGAGGGGGCTGGGAAATATTCAGGTATGCCAGCCTATGACCAGGATCTGTGCCAGACACACTCTGGGCCTTCTATTCATGATGCTGATGTAGCATCATTACGATCAAAGATTTTATGTTTTTGAGATGCACAAAGGAAAAAATAGAAACACACATTTCTAAAAACCATCATTTCCAAGGCATATCTACTATCTGTAAATGACCCTTTGTTGTTATTGTTGCTCTTGAGTTGCTAAGTCATATCTGATTCTTTTGCGACCCCATGGACTGTGGCTCACCAGGCTCTTCTGTCCATGGGGTTTCCCAGGCAAGTGGGTTTTCATTTTCTTCTCCAGGGGATCTTCTCGACAAGCAGATTCTTTACCAGATTGACCTGGGAAGCCTAAACTGTTCTTGGGGGACCTAAATACCACTGACCAGGAATATTTTGTGGGTTCTAATTCCTGAACACTGGTTATAACCCTTGCTATCACACTGCTGGTAGCATGCTAACTCTGACTTATTTTCTTCCCATGCTGAAATTCCTTGAGGTCAGGGGTGATGTCTTTGGATGTTCCTCCTTAACAATGGTGGTGGTGGTTTAGTCGCTGAGTCATGTCTGACTCATTGCGACCCCAAGGACTGTAGCTCACCAGGATCCCCTGTCCATGGGATTCTCTAGGCAAGAATACTGGAATGGGTTGCCATTTCCTTCTCCAGGGGGTCTTCCCAGCCCAGGGATCGAACCCTCGATCTCTTGCATTAGCAGCAGATTCTTTACTGACTGAGTCACCAGGGAAGCCCTCCAGAGGCTCGTGCATAACAATATTCATTGGCATTTAATCTGTAGACTCCCTTCCCCTAAGTGCTGTTTATGCTTTCTTCACACAGGTGACAGTCCGATGGATGACAAAAGTATGGCGGGTCTCGATGATTCAAAGGCTAGCGTGGAAATAAAGAGTGAGGAGCAGAAACCAACTAAAGAAGCCACAGAAGTGTCGGAGTGGAATAAAAATAGCAGTAAGGATTTGAAAATCTCCGACACACTGCAAGATCAGTTAAGTGAACAGCAGAAAAGGCAACCGCTCTCGGTCTCAGACCGCCACGTTTACAAGTATCGCTGTAACCACTGTAGCTTGGCTTTTAAGACTATGCAGAAGCTTCAGATACATTCCCAGTATCATGCGATTCGGGCCGCCACTATGTGTAACCTCTGCCAGCGGAGTTTCCGTACATTCCAGGCTTTAAAAAAACACTTGGAAGCAGGCCACCCCGAACTGAGTGAAGCCGAACTTCAACAGCTGTATGCCTCCTTGCCCGTGAATGGGGAACTGTGGGCAGAGAGTGAACCTATGGCCCAGGAGGACCATGCCCTCGAGCAGGAGATGGAGAGAGAGTACGAGGTGGACCATGAAGGGAAGGCAAGTCCTGTAGGCAGTGACAGTAGTTCTATTCCAGATGACATGGGCTCTGAACCAAAGCGGACCTTACCTTTTAGAAAAGGGCCAAATTTTACAATGGAAAAATTCCTCGATCCATCTCGCCCATATAAGTGTACCGTGTGTAAAGAGTCGTTCACCCAGAAGAACATTCTCCTGGTCCATTATAACTCAGTGTCTCACCTGCACAAGTTGAAAAAGGTTTTGCAGGAAGCCTCCAGTCCTGTCCCTCAAGAAACCAACAACAGCCCAGATAACAAACCCTACAAGTGCAGCATCTGCAACGTTGCGTACAGCCAAAGCTCAACCTTGGAAATCCACATGAGGTCTGTGCTCCATCAGACAAAGGCGAGGGCGGCGAAGCTGGAGCCCGGCGGTGGCCATGCACCCGGTGGGCACGGAGTGGCAGCCAGCGTTAACAGTCCCAGCCAAGGGATGTTAGATTCCATTAGTTTAGCAGCAGTAGGCAGCAAAGATACCCACTTAGATGCCAAAGAATTAAATAAAAAGCAAACTCCAGAATTGATCTCTGCTCAACCTACGCATCACCCACCGCAGTCACCAGCACAGATTCAGATGCAGCTGCAGCACGAATTGCAACAGCAGGCGGCCTTCTTTCAGCCTCAGTTTCTCAACCCCGCGTTTTTGCCCCATTTTCCTATGACCCCAGAAGCGCTGCTGCAGTTTCAGCAGCCTCAGTTTCTCTTTCCCTTCTACATCCCCGGGACGGAGTTCAGTTTGGGGCCGGATCTAGGCTTGCCAGGCTCTGCAGCCTTTGGCATGCCGGGCATGACGGGAATGGCCGGGTCCCTGCTTGAAGATTTGAAGCAGCAAATTCAAAGCCAACATCACGTTGGCCAAACTCAACTCCAGATTCTCCAGCAGCAAGCACAACAGTATCAGGCCACACAGCCCCACCTGCCACCTCAAAAGCCTCAGCCGCAGCCGCAGCCGCAGCAGCAGCAGGCCAGCAAGTTATTGAAGCAAGAGCAAACCCCCGTGGCCAGTGCTGACTGCCCCATCGTGAAGGATGTGCCCTCTTACAAGGAGGCAGAAGAGATGGCCGAGAAGCAAGACAAGCCAAAGCAAGAATGTGTAAGTGAAGGCGAAGGGCTCAAAGAAAGCAAAGACCTCGGAAAGAAGCCGAAGTCCTCGGAACCATCTATCCCGCCGCCCCGCATCGCTTCAGGGGCCCGAGGAAACGCAGCCAAAGCCTTACTGGAAAACTTCGGTTTTGAACTGGTCATTCAGTACAACGAGAACAGGCAGAAGGTACAGAAGAAGGGCAAGAGTGGGGAAGGCGAAAGCACGGAGAAGTTGGAATGCGGGACGTGTGGGAAGTTGTTCTCCAACGTTCTCATTCTAAAGAGTCACCAGGAGCATGTCCACGGCCAGTTTTTTCCGTACGGAGCGCTAGAAAAATTTGCCCGTCAGTACAGGGAGGCCTATGACAAGCTTTATCCCATTTCTCCATCTTCTCCGGAAACACCGCCTCCCCCACCTCCGCCGCCTCCCTTGCCTCCGGCTCCTCCGCAGCCTCCTTCCCTGGGGCCGGTGAAACTGCCCCCCGCGGTCTCCACCCCTCTTCAGNTTACCCGAAAGATGATGAAATCGAACAACTTTCCACCGTTCTCAATCTCCCCACCCGGGTTATCGTTGTCTGGTTCCAGAATGCTCGGCAGAAGGCGCGGAAGAGTTATGAGAATCAAACAGAGACAAAAGACAACGAAAAAAGAGAACTCACAAATGAACGGTACATCCGAACGAGCAACATGCAATACCAGTGTAAAAAGTGCAGTGTGGTTTTCCCCAGGATCTTCGACTTGATCACGCATCAGAAAAAGCAGTGTTACAAGGATGAAGACGATGACGCCCAAGATGAGAGCCAAACCGAAGACTCCATGGACGCCACGGATCAGGTGGTGTATAAGCATTGCACAGTGCCTGGCCAGACCGAAGCAGCCAAAACCAATCCTGCCCCTGCGGGGGGCTCTGCTTCTGGGACCAGCACCCCCCTGATCCCGTCACCCAAACCAGAACCAGAAAAGACATCTCCAAAGCCCGAGTATCCTACAGAAAAGCCAAAGTCGGGTGACCCCTCGCCCCACCCTCCAGGCACCAAACCAGCCCTGCAGACAGCATCTTCTTCCTCGGACCCGCCACCGCCACCGCCGGCCTCAGCCACTCAGCCCCTGCCACCCAAACCGCCCCAACTCCTGGGACGACCTCCCTCGGCTTCTCAGACCCCCGTCCCTTCCAGTCCGCTGCAGATTTCCATGACTTCTCTCCAGAACAGTCTACCTCCACAGTTACTGCAGTACCAATGTGATCAGTGTACAGTTGCCTTCCCTACCTTGGAACTCTGGCAGGAGCATCAGCACATGCACTTCCTGGCTGCTCAGAACCAATTCCTTCACTCCCCCTTCCTGGAACGGCCCATGGACATGCCCTACATGATATTTGACCCCAACAATTCCCTGATGACCGGACAGCTGCTCGGTGGTCCTCTCACACAGATGCCCCCGCAGACGGCTTCCTCCCATCCCACAGCCCCGGCCACCGTGGCCACTTCCCTTAAGAGGAAACTGGATGAGAAGGAAGAGAACAACTGCAGTGAGAAGGAAGGTGGGAACAGTGGGGAGGACCAACACCGTGATAAGCGCTTGAGGACCACCATCACTCCAGAACAACTGGAAATTCTCTATGAAAAATACCTACTGGATTCCAACCCCACCCGGAAAATGCTCGATCACATCGCACGGGAAGTGGGGCTGAAGAAAAGGGTCGTGCAGGTCTGGTTCCAGAATACAAGAGCGCGAGAAAGAAAAGGCCAGTTCCGGGCGGTGGGTCCAGCACAATCGCATAAACGCTGTCCTTTCTGCCGAGCCCTGTTCAAGGCCAAGTCAGCTTTAGAAAGCCACATTCGCTCCCGGCACTGGAATGAAGGCAAGCAGGCAGGTTACAGCTTGCCACCAAGCCCTTTAATATCCGCCGAAGATGGCGGAGATAGCCCACAGAAATACATTTATTTTGATTATCCATCTTTGCCATTAACGAAAATCGATCTCTCGAGTGAGAATGAGTTGGCTTCTACAGTGTCGACACCTGTTAGCAAGACGGCAGAACTGTCGCCGAAGAATCTCTTAAGCCCTTCTTCCTTCAAAGCAGAATGTTCTGAGGATGTAGAGAATTTAAACGCCCCTCCTGCTGAGGCTGGGTATGATCAAAATAAAACTGATTTTGACGAGACTTCGTCCATTAATACAGCGATCAGTGACGCCACCACCGGAGACGAGGGGAACGCAGAAATGGAAAGCACCACGGGGAGTTCCGGAGAGGTGAAGCCAGCTTTGTCTCCTAAAGAGGGCAAAACTCTCGACGCTTTGCCGAAAACAGCGACCACCCCCACCACGGAGGTCTGTGATGAGAAGTTTCTCTTCTCTCTCACGAGTCCTTCGATCCCTTTCAGTGATAAAGATGGTGACCATGACCAAAGCTTTTATATCACGGATGACCCCGATGACAATGCCGACCGCAGTGAAACGTCTAGCATAGCTGACCCCAGTTCGCCAAATCCATTCGGCTCCAGCAATCCTTTCAAATCCAAAAGCAACGACCGACCAGGTCACAAGCGTTTCAGAACCCAGATGAGCAATCTCCAACTCAAGGTTCTCAAGGCTTGCTTCAGTGACTACCGAACTCCAACCATGCAAGAATGTGAGATGCTAGGGAATGAGATTGGTCTGCCCAAACGTGTGGTCCAGGTGTGGTTCCAGAATGCAAGAGCAAAGGAAAAGAAATTTAAAATTAACATAGGGAAGCCTTTCATGATCAATCAAAGTGGAACGGAAGGCGCCAAACCAGAGTGTACCCTTTGTGGGGTGAAATACTCTGCCCGCTTGTCCATCAGAGATCATATTTTCTCCAAACAGCACATTTCCAAAGTGAGGGAGACCGTTGGGAGTCAGCTTGATCGGGAGAAAGATTACTTGGCTCCCACGACCGTTAGACAGCTGATGGCTCAGCAAGAACTTGACCGTATAAAGAAAGCTTCAGACGTGCTGGGCTTAGCAGTGCAGCAGCCAAGCATGATGGACAGCAGCTCCCTCCACGGCATCAGTCTGCCCGCAGCCTACCCAGGACTCCCGGGCCTCCCCCCAGTCCTTCTCCCTGGAATGAACGGTCCATCCTCCTTGCCCGGATTTCCACAGAATTCAAACAGTAAGTCATGTCAAAGAGAGTCAGTCTAATGAATTAAGTGATATTAGTCAGCCAATGACATGTAACCAAGAATAGGGGTATATCGGATCTCTTAATTTCAGTAGGTGAAACCATTAAGCTATTTGGAATATATATTTCAGTGGCTATAGTTAATAACCAAGCAGTACACCACCCCAAACATGTGCAGAATAAGGTAGATTAGAGGTAGATTAGAGTCTCAGAAATACGCTATTTATATCATTATATCTCAGAAACATTCCTTTTTTATACTCATTTCAAAATTAATTTCAGATGGCATTTCAGCACAGACCTGTGACATGAAATTTGTTATACATATTAAGAAAGTAAAGTATTAAAGCATTCATTGGCATCTTAATTTATGTTTTTCCAAGGAATACTGATTTTTTTTTTTTTTTTGCTTTTGTACTGTTTTGGGTTTTTTTCCCCTTAAGTGCCAGGAAGTTCAAAAGCTAAGAGCCTTCTAGCCACAGGAATGCCCTGCATTATACCCAGCAGGTAGTAAAACAGATATGTGAAATTTAATTACTAAGTATTCACTTCTATGATAATTTGTACAATTTTGCTTTTAGTAGCATTCATTTGTTTCTTAAGTATATTTACAACCTTAACAATACATTAATAGTACTTCATATCTTTCTACCACCACCCATAGCCTAGATTTATAATCAAGACAGAACAAAATGGCAACTGCTTGAGGCACTCCTAGATGATGACTCCAATTCCTTGCTTATCAAGACAAATGCAGTTTGTACAGTTTAGATTTTGTGAATAAGTATAGGTATCTAGTTATTGGGAAAAAAAAAAGTATGAAGTATTATAGGCATTCACGTAACCACACGTATAACAAAAGTGGTACCTTATGCAAACTAAGAAAAAAAAAGATTCTAGTTTCTTTTTAAACTAAGTTTTATTTTCCAAATTAACAGTATTATTTTTTTTTAACAAGGAAATTATGACATTCCAAAGAGACATCTAGAATGAACAAATACATCTGGGAAGTTTCCAAAACATGATAGGAAGGCTTTTTTTTTTTTTTTCATTTTCCAAATTAGACTTTTTACATAAATTTCAAACCTTTCAATTTCATCCTCTGATGGCAATTTTCATTTTAATGTGACTTTGGAAAATATTCCCATTTTTAGTTTGGGAGACATAAAAACAGTGGTGGCAGGTGACCTCTTGGCCACAGCTAACTCAGCTGGTTCCTTGTCCAGAAAGACTTGTTGGCTTTAGAGAGAAGTAGAGTGAATCACCAAATACAAAGAGTTCTACCCAGAAAATTTATTCAAGGCCCTTTTCTTTAACTATAGCACCAGTTACCTTCCATTGTCCACCTATGGGTATGGAACATACTTGGGCTTAATTATCTAAATATTCTTAGGGCCTTAACTATTAGAGCTACAATTATGTGTTTGTACCTTTCAATTAAGTCAAATATAGTTAAAGAATAATGCAATGGCTAATTGTTTTGCATCTGAATGTATTAGTCTTCTAGTCTCACTTTATACATCACTGTGATTATTAACCAATATCTAGAAAAATGTCTTATGTGGAAAAACTACTATGATCGGTTATGTAAAATAGAGCTTTTCCACATACTGTGTAATGTGGAAAAACTCCATGAACACATATAAATTTTAAAATTATGTAAAATAGAATAAAATTTGGTATTTACAATGGGCTAAGAACAGTTCAAGTATGTGTGCCTTTAATCTTCAAGCCAGCTTTGATGGATGATCCTGTGTAGTCACCCTCCTAAGTGGTGATCAGGACATCTTGTTTTTCTCTCCACTGGATCAGAAGGCCTTTGCTTAGACAGTGAGCCCTTCGCTGACTGCCTTTCCCCTTTGTCACTCTGAAACTAGTACCCAGAGGGCCTGTGCAAGAGAAAGCCAGGAGGGAGAGGGGAGAATATGTTTATGAAATACTTAAACAACCTAACTTTTCTCCTCATTCTACCACCATAAATATAATTTATATCCTTCTTCTGAAATATGGATTGGCAAAACTATCAGAGTTGTGGAAAGATGTTAGAGGCAGGCCCTTGTTGATGAGCACTGTTTCTCTCTCTCTCTCTCTCTCTCTCTCTCTCTTTTATTTTTAAATTATGAAAATATAACACATTTACAAGATACTTGGAAAATACAGAATAAAGTTATATATATTTCCACTATATATTACAATTATTTTTAAGTAGATAAATTAAGATTTTCAGTTGATGTTTCAATATCAAACTCTCAAAAATTAGTAGACTGAATATATAGAAAAGTAGGATATAGTAGACCTGAAAAACACCATGAACCAGTTCAATATAATTAAGGTTTATACAATTTTCACACAACGGTAGGATACAAATTCTATTCAAGTTCCGATAGATGATAAACTTGGAGAAGGCAATGGCAACCCACTCCAGCACTCTTGCCTGGAAAATCCCATGGATGGAGGAGCCCGGTAGGCTGCAGTTCATGGGGTTGCTAAGAGTCGTATGTGACTGAGTGTCTTCACTTTCACTTTTCACTTCATGCATTGGAGAAGGAAATGGCAACCCACTCCAGTGTTCTTTCCTGGAGAATCCCAGGGATGGCAGGGCCTGGTGGGCTGCCGTCTATGGGGTTGCACAGCGTTGGACATGATTGAAGTGACTTAGCAGCAGCAGCAGGCTATAAGCTAGGAGATGCTGGAATATATCCAGGGATATAAAACAAGGACAAGGTATTAAAATCACACAGAGTCTGTTCTCTTATAATTGTGGAATTATGTTAGAAGTCAATATAAAAAGATTTGAAAATAACACACATATTTTCAAGTACAATTTACCAAGGGAGATCTTTGACTTAGCCATTGAAAGTCTCAATAAAGTTAGAGGACTCAAAAAACAGAGAGGGCGAGTGCAGAGAAGAAAGCATTTAAATGAGAAATTAATATCAAAGTGGGAAATTAATATCAAAGGTACATTAAAAATGCCATGAACTTGGAAATTAAATGTTGACTTTTAAATGATGGGTGTATCTAAGTAGCCATAACAAGGAAAAATTAGAAAATACAATAAAAATGAAGAGAGAATTTATCAGAATTTGTTACATGCAGCTGAAGTTTTTAAAGGCTTCAGGTACCAAAGGCACATGTGTCTGCTCTATGATTAAATCATGGACCAAAACAGACGAGAGTGTTATATAGAGAAAAGGTCCATGAACACACCTACTGGAATTTGCAATTTCTCTTGAATTAGTTGTTTGTTTTTGATGGAGTTCAAACATTAGCACAGCACAGTTACCAGCAGGATCCCATCTGAGAGCCTGAATTCCCGCACTTCCAGCTCACATCTTTTTTAAGGTTAATTGATCTGTGGTGGGTAATGCCAAATATTTTAATTATCTCATGGAGTAGAGCTGTGACTCTCCATCTCACTGTCAGCATCTTTCTACTGGATTACATTTCATCAAACATGCTCCTATGCTCTGTGGAAGAAATAGGTATAACAGCTAGGTGAAATAAAAGAAGAAAATTACTTCATAAGTAGAATATTCCTGTATCTCTCACATGCACTGGCTCTTCTAACAGTTTATTATCTATATGAATAAATTTTGATAATATGATGTGTTCACCTTGGGCCCATTTTAAGATTTTGTTCCTAAGAAAATCACTAAAAAGTGCTTCATTGAATGAGATCAGCCATAAAATAAGTAATAAGTCTGATTCCAAAGGCTGCACCCTCAAACTGACTTAATTGAAATGTACATATTCAGTTTAGCATTTATCAACCTCCAAATTTTTTTGGATGGAATTCTTACTGTTTTAGCAGCATTAATTCTCATAAAACTTTTTTATCTTAATTTCCAAATTGTTTGGTCTTTCAAGAACACAAGGAAGACCCTTTGAAGAGTAATATCCATCATGTGAGCCTGCTTCCTGAACAATGACTGAGGCCTGTGTTCAATATTGGGCTTCCCAAGTGGCTCTGTGGTAAAGAATCCACCTGCCAAGCAGGAGACATGGGTTTGATCCCTGGGTTGGGAAGATCCGCTGGAGGAGGAAATGGCAACCCACTCCAGTATTCTTGTCTGAGAAATCTCATGGACAGAGTGGTCCAGCAGGCTGCAGTCCACAAGGTTGCAGAACAGATAGATGCAACTTAGTGACTAAACAAAAACATGTTTAGGATCACTACTTACTATTACTTATTTTTTAACAAAATGAATTATTTTCTGCTAAAAAATTTTTCCACATTTGTCTTTTTCTATAATGATCATATGCAAAAAGGGAAAATGGTAATAGAAAATCATATGGCTGTACACCTGGAAAAAATTAGAAAACTTTCACATTTTATCCTTTAGGAGGTTAGCTTCTTTTGGCTTTTTCCTCAAGAAGAATAAGAAAATAACTTGATTTTCTATTTTTAACGTATTTACTTTATTGTTTTAAGCAGTGTCTGATTCTTTTTATGTGACTGATTTTTATATGTTCCATTAGTCTCTGGAAATACTGACTAACCCAGTTCCCTTAAATGGAACTTTAGAACATGCCTTTTGCATTTTTCTCATACCTCAGTATAATATACTAGCATTTTTTGGGTAAATCTAGATAAGAGTAAGTATTTAATAATTTTTGCACAATTGTCTTTGGCCCGTGTACATAATAAGTGTTATTTTTCACCTCAAGAATAAATTTTTCCTCTGGGAGACCTAGATCAAAGCAACTTGGGGAAAAAGCACTAAATCTATGCTATGTTCATGGGGAGACAGGCATTTTCTTCCCAAAAGCATTACTTTGGGGGCATAGACAGCAGTTTCAGACTTTACTGGGGGCTCAGATGGTAAAGAATCCACCTGCAGTGCAGGAGACCTGGGTTTGATCCCTGGGTCCAGAAGATGCCCAGAGAAGGAAATGGGTACCCACTCCAGTATTCTTGCCTGGAAAATCACATGGACAGAGGAGCCTGGCCAGTTACAGTCCTTGGGGTCACAAAGAGTCAGATACAACTAAGCGACCAACACACTCTAGCAGTTTTAGGAAAACAAAACTAAACAAAATCACGGTAATAGGAGATCATCTGTAGGAAAACTTTAATCTCTCAGTGAAATTTCAGAAAATTGGATCAGGAGTTAGGGAACAGGAAAGAAGGTATGTTGTATAACTGTTGTTGTCAGTCAACAGTTGTCAGTCAGTTGTGTGCGACCCCATAGACTGTAGCCCACCAGGCTTTTCTGTCCATGGGATTTCCCAGGCAAGAATACTAGAGTGGGTTGCCTTGTCCTTCACTTAGGGGACTCTTCCTGACTCAGGGATGGAAACTGCATCTCCTGCATTAGCAGGAGGATTCTTTCCCACTGCGCCACCAGGGAAGCCCCATCTTTTGTAATTACCACCACTTATTCTGCATCGTGATTGGTGTTCAGTTTTTCTGTTCTAAATCTGGTTTTCATACATCAGTTGACTATGGAATTTTTGATTGTGAACTTCTACAAGTGTATGTCTTTTAGTAGTAGACCTGATGTACATTATTCATTATCCTTAGTCTGTATCTTGTTTACTAAAAATTTTACTTAGCTAATTGTTTAACTCAGCTTACTCCTCAAGATGTTGAATTTCTAAAAATCCCCGATAGTCTTTGACTATAGTAGTTAAGATTCCTACTGCAGTCTTCTAAAAATTTTCATTACTTTGTTATATGACCTCTAGACAAGAATTTGTAGACCCCATCTGATAGGAAAGCCTGAGTCAACAAATATCGATCTACTTGCTTTCTAACTACCACTGCGATTTTTTAAAGTCTTAGTTCCTTAAAATTTCTCTTGTCTTAAATTCTCATGTCAGAGAGATAGGTAAGCCATCAGTTTCCTTAGATTTAGGAGGGAAAGCAGTTAGGCAGTAGAGGGAAAATTATTGAGTATGAAGCCTAGATGTTCTTGACCCAAAACTAAGATTGGCATTATGAGTAGGCAAAAGAGGCTGGCTACCAACCTAATATCATTCTAACAGTACAAGGAAGGATCTTCTGTCCTCCATAAAGCTGCTTCCACTCAAATCACTCATGCCTGAAACTCTATGAATCAGGGATTAATTCTTTTGAATTAATACACTACCCTCTGTTAAGTGGAAAATAGCTGAGAATATCATGAAATCAGAATATCATAGCAAAAAAAAGTCTCAAATTATCTAATCTAGTATATATTGATCCTTTTCAGACGTGGGTTTATTCATATCTTTTGTTTTTTGTTTTTTTTCTTGTTAATAAAATTTTACAGAGAGGCAAGTGGAAAGATTAAGGCACCAGGCATCACAATGTAGGAAAAGGCAAGGGAGTTGTGGGTTTGGGCCCCAAAAGCAACCCCATCTTTCACAGTTTTCTCTTGGCCTGTGTCTAAGTCCCATAGAATCTAAGTCTATCATATTAAATTGGATTAAATATCCAGGAATTATTAATAACTCATTATTCCTACCATAGCCCTGCAAATCTTAAGCCAATTTCATTTAAATTTATTTTGAATGTGTCTGCCATTCTGCTGTGAAATGTGGATATTTGCTATCAGTTTCTCCTGGAAATACAATGTTACTAGTTTCAAGGATTATTTTCTTTCATTTTCAATATTGCAATTGTTTAATATTGGAAATAGATTCTGTTTGACAGGAAGCTGAATTTGAGTGACAGCTGTAAAATTTAGTTTCCCCACTCCCACATCTACCATTCAGTTGTAGATTTCTTTCTGTCAACTCACTTTACCATACTAGGACTCCATTGACTTACTTTAAAAAAAATGGAATTTTTAGCATCCGTCCCCACTTACCATTGAGGATATTGGAAGACTATTCCCTAACATGATGAAAATTCCTTAAATACTGTTAATAATACAACTACAGAAATGATTTCAAAGCAGGCACGTCAGAGAAAAATTGGGTGTGGTGAGGTCGAAAAGAAGAGCAGCCAATAATAAGCTAGGCTAATTGACAGTAATATGATAATGATTGGGGTCAGGTTGAGAGTGATGTTGAGGACTTGAGAGTGTCTTGAATGCTAAGCCTTAGACAAGGTTTCTCAGCTGGGTAAAGGCCAATTAAAAAATTAAAGTTCTTCTTCTAGCTAAAGAAATATGTGTCACTTTTTGTGTCAGTTATTTTTCTTTTTTTTTTAACACCCAAATGTTGCATTTAGCATAGAAGACTAGCCAATATTTAAAAAAGAGTTTTCCCCACAGCCACACACTGAAACTTCATTCACCTTCTCTTAGTTATTTCTTCCATCAGCACATCAGACCTCCATCATGGCCCTTGTCTGGATCATTTGGTAGTGAGCCTTCCTTCATTGAAGAACAAACCACAACCCAGTTAGGCTTCCAGTCTGTTCCTCTTGCAACCAACTGTATTTGCCTCTAAAAAAACAGACTCAGGAAAGGCACAGACTTTTACAGTTCCCATTTCTACCTTGAGTTGTCTTTTAGTTTTTCACCCAACTATCCAGAGCCTAAAAATGGCTTTGTGATAGGCTTTTACCAGCCACTACCTTAGACTGCATGCTTGAAATCCAGCAAAGATCTCTTCCATTTCAAGTCACACTCTACCCCACATGTGTCTGCCTACTGAGCATTTAGTTCTCCTTCTCTAATGATATGAGAATCATTTATGCCTACTACAAGTAAACCTGGAAGAAGCATGTTTGGCTGTTGGGGGAAGGCGATGGGGTGGAGGGGTAGTGATAAAGTTGTGTGTTGACACATGTAATTCCTATCAAGTACTGTTGGCCAAAGTGTCATAATAGGGAGTAATGAGTAGCTTACCCTATACCCTGAACAATGAAATCAGGCCTAACCACGCTCCATCCTAGTGAAGAAGAGCTTGACGTCACTGCTAGTTGTT